ATTATAAACTGCGCAAGAGTACTAACCTTTACCACGTCCTTTATAAAAATGTTAAAGAGCAGAAGGCCCAGCATCCTACCCTGAGGCACGCTGCAGGTTACGGCTTTGAGGGAAGAAGATCGCTTGTCGATGCTGACACACTGCTGGCGATCAAAGAGATAGGAATCCAGGAGTGAGAGTGCTGAACCACGTGTTCCATAGCACTTTAATTTATCAAGGAGTATTTGATGATTGATGCAGTCAAACGCCTTACAAAAATCAATAAAAATGCCTAGTGTTAAAAGCTTGTTTTGAATGTTATTTAGGTTTATTTCTTTCTGGAGTAAGAGCGCTGACTCTGTCGACCTTTTCTTTCTAAAACCAAATTGGGCGTCAGTCATTATTTCATGTCGATGAAGAAAACTTTCTACGCGAGTTTTGATAAGCGTTTTGTTAGTCCCCTATAAAAAATTTGCAGTATGGATATTGGTCTATAGTTGGTCATTAGGTTCACATCGCCTCCTTTGTGAAACACAAAAACTTTGGCAAGTTTCATATTTCAAATTAAAATGAACTCCGAGAAACACCCTCCAAATTTGACGAAAAATGAACTAAGAAAAGACGGAATCCTAGTAATATTTCATCTTTCCAATTATCTAAGTACAAGAGTATCGTCAATACTCGTCGCCCGTAAAAATGGCTGGTCTCTCGACACCGCACAAATTAATTTTTTTTTTAACAATCACTGCACTACCACATATTGACAGTTCTAAATAAACTAATTTTCAATGGGAGAGATGTATTTCGGATTTCAAAATACGATTTACGCTCACATTTCATCTAGGCTGTTGAATGTCCTTATTTTGATGTTTTTCGTAATATTGTGAGGGCGAGACGAGCGGCTTCAGGAACGGCTTTTAATGTCCGACTGCTCAGGGGGAATCCAAGAACGAACAACGTGCCAGCTCAGGCGGATACGAAGATGATGAAGTGATCATAAAATAAATACGGATCATGATGATAGTTAGTGATGAAGATGATGAAAAATTTTTCATGAGCACCCTCACATGGCCCCCCGGTCGGTGAGGAGTGGCTTCCTGGCCTCCTGGCCACTAAATGTTGGTGGTGCTGTCAGCAGGTAGTGAATGGTTTGAGGCGGTCGACATGAAGCACTTCTCCGGAGCGGCGTCTACGATCTGTAGAGACGTGTACGGGCTCGTCGAGGTAGTTGACCGGGCATGTCTGGGTCAGTACTGTAACAGCTCCAGGGTCGTTCTTGTTGTCGGGCTCCGCTGGAGCCAGGCGCCGACCAGGACGTCAGGCAGAACGAGCTCGGACCGCTTTTGAGAACGGGTTTACTTTACATTTGTACTAAATCAAAAAAATGAAAGCCGTTTACAATTCCCTGTAACGCCGGTTAGAGCGCAGCTCTTGAGGAGGAAGATGGAAGCGTACTGAGGGATAGGTGACTCCTTGAGGTCACGTGACCTCAAGGGGGTCACGTGACCTCGGGGGTCACGTGACCTGAAGGGGTCACATGACCTTAGGGGGTCACGTGACCTAGGGGTGTCACGTGACCTGGGTGGGTCACGTGACCCCCTTAGGTCACCCTAGGTCACGTGACTTCAGGGGGTCACGTGACTTCTGGGGGTCACGTGACCTAGGGGGGTCACGTGACCTAGGGGTGTCACGTGACCTGGGTGGGTCACGTGACCTCGGGGGGGTCACGTGACCTCGCGGTTACGCCGACGCCGCTCAAGCCGGAAACGGGCCCCTAAGAGCTGCGCTCTAAAAGCAGCATCGGAAGACAGGAGTCCCGAAGAGGTCGGTTTCTTTTAACGGGACTCTCTTCTCTACATTCGCCACGTAGGGATTTTGGGTAGCTAAGTTGGCTCCTCCCCCACACACACCGGCGCACCGCGTCTCTACACACACACGCCACTGCCATCATGCAGACCAGTTGTTCCAAAGACGTCTCTGCTTGTCCACCAGGGGTCGGCGCGAAGCCCACACCCATGATTGCCGCGGCTTCCTTTTCCGACGGGAAGGTAATTGGGTACGGGGCGCCCGGCAGCAGTCATGTACAAGTTACTCAAAAAAAGTAATTAAATGAAGTTACTGAGTATTGACTTCAAAGGTAATTTGAGTAGAGTAGAAATTACTCAAATGAAAAGAAATTGAGAAAATTACTAATTACTGTAAAAGTTGCGAATTACTATTGAAGTTACTTTTATACGTCTTTTTTATGGTAGCAAGGACGCACTTAGGTTTTGATCCGTTAGCGAAATTTTGCTAGCCAATTATAAAATGGCTTGTTCTTTCACAGAAATGCTTTAATAGCTGTTTCTGCTTCTGCGTGCCTAATTGTTTTTTTGGTCGATGATGTACTGCGCATGCATTATTTCTACCTTGAGGTATAGCACTGCCTAAGCATGATTTTTTAGACAGTGTTTGCTTGTTTACAGTGTTGCGTAAAGAATATCTAAAAGTACTTGAAGTAAAGCACAAAGTAAATGAGAGGTTGCGTACTTCAAGTAAAGTAGTAAGAACACCGGGTGCAACGTACTTGAAGTCATGTACTGTAAACAAATACTATTCCGAGGTAAGGTACAAGTACATTTAACACAATATTTCATGATGCCCTTTCATTCCCTATACAGTGTTTTTTTTTAAACTGGTATGCATTACTCCAGGGGTAATCGGAGGTGCATCATGTTCTTATGGAAATGGCAGCAAATATTGTAAAGAGGCGAGTTGCCACAGAGTAGTTATTTTTGTTCTCGCGCTGACGAGCTATTTGACACAATCAACTTATGAGGCCCTTATTTGTGTCCGTCTCATAGCCGCCATTACTTCACTCAGAGAAATGACCAGATAACGTCTCCAAAGAGCGCGTTTTCACACGACGATACGCCATTTTTGTTTTCAAATTCGGGGAATGTACATTGAAGTCGGGAATTTTTACTTTTTGACTCGGGTGTTTCGCCGGTTACTCACAAGGTAAGAAATACTTGGTTTTAGTGGTGCAATGTATAGCTAATGCAGAATGCAGGTGTCCCAGCTTACCTCGATGTGTTTCCGTAGATTAGAGTTTGTTGTTCTTGCTGATAACAAAGTGTGTTTTATGGCAAGCGAAGTATGCACTGAAACTCTAGGTCCCGCTCTCCTTAATGCCTTAAATTTTGAACATCTCATTAAGAAATGGCCATGGAGACGACGAACACTCCATGACCGAAAACTCGACCAGTCAGAGAAAAAGTGGCGGTTACATATTATCGGCCATTCATCGGCTCTCACTTTCATACCAATATTCGTGGAGGTCAGGTGAAGGGAGGGCAGAGTGGGCAAAAGAAGCGGTGGCCATCGGTATCACAAAGCAAAGGAGGATCACAACACATTTACGCGTTCTGTCTCTCTCTCTCTCTCTGTCAGCACTCCTTGAATGATCTGATTCCCCCCCCCCCCCCCCCCCCCCTTTATGTTGACAGTTGACTGTAAAGTGAGGAGTGGAGTCGACCACCATGCCCAGACAAGTAAACCAAAAAAATTATTTTCCGTACCCTCAAAGACGATGCTCTTAGCCCCGCGCCGGGCGCTTTTCAGCCGTGCCTCAAGAGTGTGCTAGAATAAAGTAGCGTACATCAAAGACAAAAAGAAATCGATCCCCTCGCTCGAGGCTACTCTGTCCGTTCCGCGAGTTCTGAACCCGCGAGTCGAGGGTGTACGGACCCGCGTTTGATGTCTGTGCAGGCGGCGGGAGACGTCGAAGAATTTGGAAGGAGTAAAACGGTGTAAAATACAAAAACAAATAGACACGAAGAGCTTTCTCCTGCCCGGGAGAACAAGAAAAACACGATGGAAGGCGACGGAGAGCCTACTCTGAGTTGTCTTATTTGATCCTTGTCTTCCGTATATTTGTTTGTACATGCCTTGCGCGTTTTTCTAGTGGTTCTAGTAACCGGCCATAGAAAACATCGTGTATTTTTTTGCCCATTCTCCCCTTCCTGATGTTTTTTTTTATTTTGTTGAACTTGCTCTTTTTTATGCTGCTGAATGTTCTGCGCGTATTGGTCCAGGTACTGTATTATGCTAATATTTTTAAAAAGTAAAGAGTAATTAAAGTAATTCGCTACCAATCGTTTGTGACAAAAATTACACTACAAATTACTTAAAAAGTAACGTGTGTAAGCGAGCGCCATTCTGTACTGGCTCTTTTATTTTATTTCGCCGAGCGCATTCCAAGCAGGCGCCATTGTGTTTTGCCTTTTTCTTTTATTTCGCTGGGCGCAAGGTTCAGTTCTCAGAAGATTGTGTTTTATTTTGAACTCTTCGGCGCCGGGAATCTCGCACGTGGATGCCCGTGCCATGAAGGCGCGACTGGCTGGCGTCGGGCAGGATGCGGATCGGGTTACAGCCTTGGGCGAGACCAAGCTGCTCAAGAAAACTATGCGTCAGTCTAACAGCGGGACTCAAAGCGAGAGTGTGTGTGCGATGGTGGTACGCGACCACCAATAGTGTCCGTCTTGTAAACTCAAATTGTATCAAGAATATTAAATCCAGTGTTTCTTTAATTCCAAAAACCCATTCGTCAAGACCTCGTTTATTATCAAGAAGTTATTTTATTTGGAAACGACCATACGATTACATATCAGAAGTGGGATTATCAACCAACTCCTCGGAACGAAGAGCGGACCGAAGAGTGACACAAGCAATCAAGTGCGTCAAGCATCCAAACCCGTGGACCCTGGATCGACGAGTCAAGTGCGATCAGAGTCAGGTTGGAGCGACCCACAGTGCGACAGGTGGGCGACGTGTGTGTGAGTGCCTGCGATTGGGGGCTTCCCACTGTGCGGAACTCAAGGTTCAGGTACTGTCGGATTTTTTCATCTCCCTGTGGAACTCTTTATCAACAGAGTTTTCATTTTACATATGAGATGTAGTGTATTATGTTGTGGCTTTATATTGTTTGTGCGAGCGTGTGTGTTGGGTGTAATTACATGTATACAGCTCAACGCTTCACCATGAACCAGGAAGCGTCGGGAGCGTCTCCGAGCCAGGCGGGTTCGCCTGAAGTTGCTCACTCCATGGGGGACGGGTTTTCTTTGCATGAGCTCTTGGGAATGATTCGAGAAAAGGATCGTTTGTTAACGGACCTCTTGGGACGACTTGCCCTTCCGGCGCAGTCAGGCGCAGCGGACGTGAGCGGCGTGGCGACGTTCCAGGTGATGCCTGACCTCTGTAAGAACATATCCAATTTCGACGGAGGCGAGGACGCAGCAGCAGCGCGAGACTGGATTGAGAACCTAAAGAGGACGGCGACTCTTCATAAGTGGCCGACACCTTTTCTCCTGGAAACGGCAAAATCACATCTCACAGGAGCTGCCAAAGACTGGTTACGCTCACGCCATGCAGAAATTGCGTCGTGGGAAGATCTAGAGTACCAGTTTCGACGAACATTCGTTCGCCAGACCCGAGCAGCGGAACGCTGGAGGAGAATGCAAGACCGCGTCCAACAGCGAAACGAGAGCACGATTTCCTACTTCCATTCGAAGATTCGTCTTTGTGGAGAGGCAAACCTCGACTTCTGCGATACTCGCGAGCAAGTACTCACCGGCTTGCGTTCGCGACAACTGTGCACCATGTTAATGGGGAGAACACACGAGGACGGTGATGACCTCCTACACGACATACAGGAATTCGAAAGGATCGATAGGGAGCGACAAGAGCGCTTCGGTGGACAGCGTGAAAAAGGGGCTGCTACCGACACACCGCGAAACAGAGACCCGGGTATGACGTCTGTCAAGAAAACCGTTGACGAGAGAGACAACAAGGATAAGAGATCACCAATACACAACGAAAAGGGTGAGCGTAAGTGCTACAACTGCTCACGGTTCGGTCACATTGCGCGTGACTGTCCAGAGCCAAAGCGCCCACTAAAGTGCCTGAGCTGTGGAAAAACCGGGCACACTCAGCGTCACTGCATCGAAAGAGCTCCAAGGAGTGAGACCAACGCCGTAAGCAACTCAAAAGAGAGGAGTTTCTCTGAAGTGCTCCTTAAGCAAGTCACATGGAATGGCGACAAAAAGCTCATTGGAATGATTGACACCGGAAGTTCCGGATGCCTCTTGCGCGCGTCTGCGGCGGCGCGTTGCGGTGCTGAGCTGATGAGAGACGCAACACCTCTTTATGGATTCGGTAACCAGGACGTCCCAGCAGTAAGGACAATTGGTAAATGCAAAGCAGACTTGGATATTGACGGTGTTACCGGGAAGGATATCACAATTTTTGTTGTACCAGACGAGGCCCAGTCGGTCGACCTGCTCGTTGGTCGAACTTTCACCGAGCTCCCGTACGTGACCTAGGCAGGGGTGGGCGGATGTCTACGCTTTTGGCACAAGAGTCAGTGCCCTTTCTCCCACCTCGAACCCTTGAGCGACGATCCCAAGTTGATTGTAAAGACAACCGAAAAATCCACCCTCCAGGCGAACGTGATAAATTGGATCACGCTGTCATCAGAATCTGATGTCACTGGCCCCGTACTTTTCAACAACTGTGGAAAAGAAATTCTTCTCGACATGAAAGACGGAGAGATTGCTGTTCCAGTTTTCCCAAGCGGAAAGAACGATGTAGTCATTAAAAAGGGACAAAGTCTTGGACGTGTCACTGCGGTCGACATTGTAAACACGCTCGGTGAGGAGGACAACCAGAGAAACCGAGCGGAAGAGAGTTACGAAACCGAGAAACAAGGGGTTTTCACCACGGCAATTCGGAAGCCGATAGACAAGAATCAGGTCGAAGTAGGTCCGTCGGTGACCGAGGTGCAAAAGAATGAGCTCCTTGATCTCCTGAACGAGTATCGGGAGTGCTTCGCTACGAACTTGAGCGAGCTTGGGTGCACAAATGTCCTCGAAATGGACATCCCGGAAGTGCCGGGAAGCTCACCAGTTGCGGTTCGGCCTTACCGAACAAACGTGGCCGAAAGAGAAACGATTCGTGAGATCGTCAGCGAATGGAAACGAGAGGGAATTGTGAGTGAGACGCATTCCGCTTACGCAAGTCCCGTGATCCTTGTTCAGAAGAAGAACGGAGAGAAGCGTCTAGTGGTAGACTATCGACGACTGAACGCCCAGACCGTAAAAGAAAAATACCCCCTACCAAGCATTGATGATCAACTAGAAGGACTATCCGGAGCAGTGATGTACACAGTTCTCGACCTCGCTCACGGCTACCTTCAGGTTCCCTTGACTGACGATGCGAAGAAGAAGACAGCTTTCATCACTCCGGACGAGACCGGTCAATTTGAGAGGATGATGTTTGGACTCACGAATGCTCCGTCCGTGTTCCAGCGTCTTATGAACCACGTTTTGGGGCCGCTGAGGGGAACGATAGCTATGTGCTACCTGGATGATGTGCTGATTCCAGCGAAAAACTGGGATGACACCATTACACGGCTGCGCCAAATCCTCGAAGCCTTCAGGAAGGCGAATTTAACCCTTCGCTTAAGCAAATGCGCTTTCGGAAGAGACAGTGTGGATTTTCTGGGTTTTCGACTGAAGAACGGAGCGGTGCAACCCGGCGCAGTTAAGGTACGCGCAATCACAGAATTCCCAGTCCCAGAGAACACTCATGATGTCAGACGATTTTTGGGACTGACGAGCTTTTTCCGACGCTACGTCCCGAAGTATGCGTTAATCGCTGAACCCCTCACAAGGCTCACCAAGAAGAATGCAAAGTTTGAGTGGAACTCTGAGCAAGAGGAAAGTTTCCAAGTTTTGAAGTCAAAACTAACATGTGGACCTGTACTTCAACTGTACGACCCGAATGCGGAGACGCAGTTGCATACAGACGCCTGTGCGAAGGGATTGGCAGCAATGCTCCTTCAACGGAAAGACGACGAGTGGCACCTTGTCTATTGCGTAAGCTAAAGAACGACCGACGCCGAGAGCAACTATCACTCATCGAAGCTCGAGTTGATGGCTATCGTTTGGGCGGTGGATCGGCTTAGACCGCTGTTACTTGGCATCCATTTTACTATTGTGACTGACTGCCAGGCTCTGGTGTACCTTAATGCACAACGAACACAGAAGCCCCAGATTGCAAGGTGGTATGATTTGATCCAGGAGTTTGATTTTTCAATCAGGCACCGTCCCGGATCACGGATGCTTCATGTGGACTCACTTAGCCGAAGCCCAGTTGAGGAGCCGGTGGATACGATGGACTCTGTCCTTGAGGACCGCTTCGAGATCTGCCTCACCTATGACCTTGCAGACCAAGTGCTAGTGTTACAACGAGGAGATGAAGAGCTACGAGAACTGGTAGCCATACTAGAAAAGCCAGAACATTGTCGCACCGGGCAGGAGAAGGGAAGAGTGAGCGGCTACGTTCTGAAGGAGGATAGGCTCATGAGAGAAATCGAACACGACGGCAATAAAAAATACAAGTTTGTGCTGCCCAAGTGTATGCGGAAGGCTGTAGTGGTGCAGTCCCATGACTTAATGGGTCACTTCGCACTTGACAGAACAGTTGCCAAGATTCAAGAGAGCTTCTGGTTCCCGCGAATGCGGAACTACGTTCGGAAACACATTTCACAGTGCTTTGAGTGCATTTCCAACAAGATACCTGCTGGCAGACGAGAAGGTCTCCTTAATCCCATACCACCAGGCACGCGACCATTTGAGGTGGTGCACATGGATCACATGGGTCCATTCGTGCAAAGTAAGAAGCGAAACCAATACCTGCTTGTCATCATTGACAACCTAACAAAATTTGTGAGACTCTTCGCAGCGCGCGACACATCGACCAAGCACGTACTGCGGGCTCTGCAGGAGTTTATCCTAGAAAGAGGCCTGCCGAGAACCCTAATCACAGATAGGGGCAGTTGTTTTACTTCTCGAGAATTTGAGGAGTTTTGCGGTGCACGAGCCGTACACCACGTGCTTAACTCTACACGACACCCGCAAGCGAACGGTCAGGTGGAGAGGGTGAATAGGACAGTACTTCCTGTCATCACAACCTCGATGACAGACCCCCAGCAGCGCGACTGGGACGAAAAACTGAATTTAGCTGAGTGTAGTTTGAACAACTCCGTGAACAAAACATCGGGAAGGACTCCCTTCGAGATGCTACACGGATATCAACCAGACTTTCACAACACCGCATTAAAACGGCTAGTCGAAGCTGAGGGACCGGCGTGGCAGGACCCCAAGGAAATGGAACAGGAACAGGAAAAACTGAAAACCGCATACGACCGAAGACACTTTCGTGCGCGACTGTACGATGTCGGAGAAATAGTCTTTATGAGAAAAGCTACTGAACCAACAGGCAAGCCAACGAAGGCTCAACCGAAGTACAGAGGGCCTTTGGTTGTGACACAGGTTCTTCCCTCCGACACATATCGCGTCACTGAGCTTGACAAGACCAAGGCCAGTAGATTCGCAACTACGGCGCATGTTTCCCAGTTGAAGGGATGGACGTCGACAACAAAGAAAACACACTTGGAAGACGACACTTCATCGTCAGAAGAAGCAGAATCCGCCAGGGACGAAGTCACCGTTCAGCTCCCGAGGCGCTCTGCACGTAAGCGTGCAATTCCGAAATGAGCACATTTGCAACACATATTATTTTTCGCTTGTGTCGATTTTGTTGTTGTTGTTTTTTTTTGTTGCATAACGTGCATTGAAGCATTTATGCGTTTCTTGTGCTGTTCACGTATATGTAGCGTCAATTCCTGTGTATTCATATGTTGTTATTATTAAGAAACATGAAAGATTAATCTTTATTAATTTGTATAAGCATTGCTTTATGTTGTCGTTAACGAGGACGTTAACAATGCCAGGATGCCCGAATGTAAGCGAGCGCCATTCTGTACTGGCTCTTTTATTTTATTTCGCCGAGCGCATTCCAAGCAGGCGCCATTGTGTTTTGCCTTTTTCTTTTATTTCGCTGGGCGCAAGGTTCAGTTCTCAGAAGATTGTGTTTTATTTTGAACTCCTCGGCGCCGGGAATCTCGCACGTGGATGCCCGTGCCATGAAGGCGCGACTGGCTGGCGTCGGGCAGGATGCGGATCGGGTTACAGCCTTGGGCGAGACCAAGCCAACCCCCGGTCACAGTCCGAGTTTCGCGGCGCTGACATTAGTGTCGCCACCATCAGCGGCGCTGTGTATAGCGTCGCCACCGGCAGCAGCGCTTGGGTGGTGGGGGGCTCTCATTAATACAAAAATACAAATATAGAACTTTGTTCGCTAACAGTAATTTCAACAAAACGTCTTCACCGCACCATGAAAATAAAATTTAATTTATTTTATATATTTCTTTCTGTTTGTTCTGTTTTCTGTCTGAAACCAAAACTCTAAACCGACCCGCTGGCCTCGCCGGCGTCCTGGGCCCTGGAAGGCGCCGCTACTCCCCTCGCTCTACCGGCTCTACCCTCGCCCAAATTTGAAACTTCGTAACGGCGGACGGCGGTATCGCGTGGTTTTGTTTACCCAAGGGTGCCCGTGCCAGCGTGGTTTCGCTCTCCGGCGTTCCGCGCGCCTGTCGAACTCGATGGATATTTTGGTGCAAACTTTCAGAGACTGTTGAGAGGTGCATTTTACGTGGCCATATCCCAATGGTTCACGAACAGCGCTAATGCCAAGACCCACAAGTTTTTGTTTGTTCATTTTTTTTTTTCTCAAGAAAAGACAGGTGAGTATATACTCAGTTTTATTTGCTCAGCGAACTTACCATTAAACTTTTGCTGCCCATAGCTCTTAGTTCGCGGATTTACCGTACTATAGGAGGCTCGTTCTCGCAGTAAAAACATATCACCCCGAACAAGTACGGTTTTAATGAAGTTAATGGTATACACTTAGCCCCACTTCGATTTGTGCACAACTGCTTATTTAAAGTGCAGCAATTGGGTTTAATCTAGAAAATGCTCTTTGGCGGTCCTCGAACAGACGGAGGATAATAAAAAAGAAAGAATGAGGCTTCCTATATATTAATTTGAAGTTTCATTTATTTCTGCACGGTTCCGGGTGCGACAACGGCATTATGTCATTAGTTTATTCTCTGTAGATAGACATTTGTTTTGTTTTTAAATTAGTTTAAAATTTTAAATACCATGACCACATTGTCATTACAGATGCTGGGACATATGGAACGAGCATTTGAACGTTGCCTCAAGGAGGAAGAAAACTTCGGACACTTCGTGGTTCCCAAGCAGTTGTACAGCCTGTTGAGTGCCAACATTTTTCGAAGCTTTATTTCACATTTTCATCTTGGTTGCGTGAGAAGCTATGAATATGTAAAAATGAAGCTAATGGTTGCTGGGAGCATCGTAAGTGGCTTATGTTTCTTAAATCAGTGAACAACTTTACT